TATGTATATAGCTATTTCTTTATCTGGTTGGCGCTTCTTTGCTTGCGATGTTACGTTTGATTGGCAGTGCAGGCGTTTCAGACGCAGGGGGCGGCTGTGTTGTGGAGAATGTTTGAGGGGAAGCGCACAGAGCTTGCTGGCTGCTGACGGGGAATTTGCACCACGCAGATTATGCTATTTCTTATTGTAATATCATAGTTATTTCAATAATATAAAGGGATTTATGCCCGCAGTTGCTTGGCCCCCCAGCCCCTTACTTGTCCTACTACGCGAGCTGCTGCCTTACTTTAACTTACTACTTTTGGCTTTGAGTAACCTTGACCCTCCTCAGTTCTCTGTCTGTACCTATGGCTTGCTGCTGTTGACAAACTTTGGAGAAATGCTTCCTGATCTTTTTTTTCCTGAACGATTTTCTAATTTGCTTTCAAGCTGATGCTGCTTTGTTCCTATTTTTGTCCAAAGACGTTCAACTTTGTGCCTTTTATAACAGGCTTACATGTTTGCAGTTTTTGTTTCTTTTTGCTAGTAATAATAACAATAATAATAATAATAGTGATATAGTAGTAATGATGATAATAATGATAATGATAATAATGATAATGGTAATAGTAGTAATCATATTAATTATCATTATGATGATAATTATGAACAATCATAACGGTGCGAATAGATATGATAATGATAAAACAGTCATACAAATCACAATGAGAAGCATTTGCTGCGAACAGATCTGTCTATTTTGTCACAGAGAGTTCTGGTACGGCCATAAATAACAATGTCATATTGAAGGTCCTTTTCTTCGATTCAGAAACACACCGTTCAGCTTTTTGCTGGTTCTAGAGTAGATCTTTGCCCACCTATTGTCCCGCCTTTGGATTCGGCGACTAATTATTCTTGGCAGCTGTATGCTTTGAAGAAAAGAAGAAGAAAAATGAAAAGACAGATGTTGTTCTGTGTAGCTTGTCATTGTTCCTGCCCTGGGCCTTACGCTAGTCCCGTAGCTTTCCAATAGCCGTTGTGATTAAGATCTTTTTGTTTGTGGGGTGGGGGGAGAGGAGGAAATGCTGATTTTGAATTTATTGTCTAGTATGTAATGTCATGCTTAGCTGTTCATTTGTTTCTTGCATATAATGATAAAGCACGTGTACATTTATGTGTGTTCAATATGTGTAGCTCTCTGCTATATTCAACGTTGCCCTGACCTTTGCGTGTTTGCTGCGGTTGTCCAGGAGATGGTGACCTTGACCGGGTGTTCCGTCTGCCCGCCACGACCTACATTGGTGGGAACGAGGCTGTCCTGCCTCTCAAAGAGATCATACGGCGATTGCAGGTGAGAGGGAGGGGGAGGTGAGGAGAGGGAGAGGAGGGGGGAGGTGTTGTTTGTATGTATATTGGTGTGTTTCTCTGTACTCTACAAAAATCAAACACTATGTACTTGATTTTTCAGTGCCTCGAATCGCGACCTCAGTGCTTTCTTGTCGTAGTGGGTGGTTGGCGGGTGCTCTGGTGTGGTTTGCTCCTTCTTTCCTATCGAACGTCTATTGTCCTTATCTCCCCTTCATCTTTTGTATGTTTGTTACTCTCTTGTAACAGCTCTAATCTTCTGGCGCTCATATGACCTTTTGCAGTTGCGAGCGCCGTAAAACCTCTACTAAAACTAAAACTAACTTTCTTGTCGTATCTCCATTTTAATTAACAGTGAAAACAGTTCATAACAAAGAGTGAGCTTAAAAAGAAGTCCCATTCTCAATGTTTACAAATGGAGAGAGGACAAGAAAGCTCTGAGATCGCGACATGTGGGTGGTTGTGGGGTGCTCTGGTGTGGTTTGCTCCTTCTTTCCTATCATCAAAGATTAACTGTGGGTGGTTGGCGGGTG